TAAAATTTTAAAATAAATTAAAAATTATGAATAATTTAATACTTCTATTATATTATAATTTTATTTTTAATTTATATATTTTTTTAAAATTAAACTTTTAAAATATAAATAATTAAATTTTAAAAATATATTTTCTTTACTTTTATTTAAAATATTTAAATATAATTAAAAAATTTAAAAATATATATAATTTGTATAGAAAAATACAAAGCGGACCAAACATGTTGCCGCCAGAAGCCCGATTATTATTAACAACATGTCTTTTTAGTAATTTTAACAGTTTCAAAACACTTCAAATTTATTACATCCAAACAATTTTTTACGAAAAATTATTTTTATAATGATTCATCCAAATACAAAATCGAACTACTTCTACTTTTGACTTCTACTTCTGCCTATATTTTAAGTCAATCCAAACAAGTCCTATATCAAAATACATGTATAGAAAAATCTGACTTTATTTCTTTATTCAATGTTTTTCTCTAAAAAAAACCATCGAACAAACACGGCTAGATATATTTTTGAAAAAATCATATAATATCTATTTTTATGTTATAGTAAAAATATATAATTGAAATACCTCGTATTTTTTTTATTGTGTGAAATTATCTTATGTTACCGTAAGATTTGCACGAAATATTATTTTCGTTCAAAATTGATATTTGATTATAAATATGAATCAAATAATATAAATTTTATACAAATAAAAGAGATAAAATATATCTTAAATAATTTTTTGAATAAAATATATAAATTAATAATTGATTAACTATTTATTTTGTATTTTTTTTGGAGAGAAATTGTTATTTGACTTTTACTTTATTATATTTAAATTAATTTCAAACCAAAGCTAAACAAGATAAATATTTAAAGCATTAAAACACCATGGATGTGTTCGTTTGTTTGTTGGTTTTTAATTTTTTTATTATTAAATTTAAATTCTTATTATTTTTTTTTATTTTATATTATACTAAAAATTAAATTTATATACAAAACATCGTATCAATATTTATTTACTATATTATATCATATAATTATTAAAATTCAATATTTTTACTATTCAAAATCTGAAACCCAAACATACAAACATACCTAAATTTTTTAAATTCTTTTTGTTATTAATTATTGAAAATTAGGAAAATTAGGAGACTCTTACTCCCACTGTCAACACTCCATGTATCATTTTAACTATTTTCATTTGTTTCACCTAAAAATATTTATTTTCAATTATAATAAAAATAATTATATTTAAATACCAAAATATCATTTAAAAATATTCATTTCTTTTATACTTTCAAAGATAAAAATATCAAAATTTTTTTATACATTTACACTTACCAATAAAATGTTATTCTTAATCTATTAAAAAAAATAAATGAGCATATTGAGTTGGGGCAAATGTGCAGTATAACAAATTGTAAAGTTATGAACAAATATTATTTTTAATTAGTCTTTAAATATTTTATTAAAATAATACTCCCTCGGTCTTATGTAATATGGGTCTATTCCTGTAGATATTAGAATTTAAGTAAAATATTATTAATAAGTAATTAAAAAATATATTAGTAAAAATAATTCTTGTATAGTAAAAATAATTATACATTAAGATTAAAATAACTAAATAGTTTAATTAAAATTAAAAAAAAATATAAAATTTAAAATGTGATTAAATTGTACAATTATATTTTTTTTTTAAAAAAAAAGGATTAATTATGTGGGACAAACGAAAATAAAAATTAGGGACAAATTATGTGGGACGGAGAAAGTATATATTTTGTCATTTGTATTGTCTACAAAAAGAATATTTATTTCTTTTTGGGAGTATAGGCTCCTAAATATTACAAAGACCTTCACATTTATAATTATTTACATCAATCCGCAATAATAACTTTACATATAATAGGAGCGATGATTTTTACATACAAAAATATCACTAATTATAATAAAAATATACTATTAAATCTTCTAAAAAAAAATAGACAAAATAGCTTAAAACGGTTTTCAAATTTTAAAAAAAAATCTATTTGGTCATAAAATTTCATATTACCTACTCGTGGTTACCAAAATATTTTATAAAAAAAAAACACTTTTCGTTAGTACTTAACAAGGGTTACAATTCACGCGCTCAAAGTACGATTGTTGATAAAGGGGACACGGTCGTTAGTACTTCACGTATTGAAGTGAACACGACCGAACAATACAACAAATTTTACAAGAACTGCTACAACCCGGGAAACAATTATATTTGAATGCGTGAACTGCAATCATCGTTAAATGCTAACAAATAGGGTTTATATGCAATATTTTTAAAACCACAAGTAAGTAATATGAAATTTTAGTACTACGAATAGTTTTCAATAAATTCTGAAAACCATATGAAATTTTATGCTTGTGCCAAATAAATATACTTTATAAACCGAGAAAATATATTTTTATTAAAAATATAAATATTACTTCTCTTCTAATAATGTAACTAGAAATATTTTGTAATATACTTAATTTACATTAATATCATTATTATTATTATACTCCTTCTGACCAAATTATGCTAATATTTATTTATTTTTTTGTTCCATCCAATTATATCGTTTCATATGAAAGAAAATTATTAATAATTCTAGTAATAATTAAAGCTTAACTAATTATATTTAATATATCTATTTAGGTTGTATTTGTTTTTTGTTTTTGTTTTTATTTTTAATTTGAAATATTTTTATATTACGTGCCTTAAAATTATAGATAAAATAAATAATAGTAATATTTTGTAATGAATTATTAACGTTTTATGAGTTTGTAAAATAAATATCATATATTAGATGGATGCGTGTTATATTGTAAGTTTTATAATATTAATTATGAAACATATTGAAATTTTTTTGTTTGGTAAATGCATCTATTACCCATAATTATTTTAACAATTTATTTTTAATTAGAGGTAAAAAATATTGAATAGCCGAAATATAGTGCATGTCGTACCAAAAAAAAATACTAAAAATCCAAAATTTTCAGTATACTAAAAATTTTAGTCATATATGATATTGCATCAAAATTTTTCGATACAATATCAGTATATAGTTTGAAATTATCGATATATATAGAAATATTAAAATTATGTCTCTATACAATGAAAATATCATATATTGTATTGCTATTTTATTATTTGATTTATCGGTATATATCAATAGTTCGGTGTATTAAAACAAAAATTATCTCTTTTTTTATTTTTAAATTATAAAAGTATTTTTAATTTGATATTTCAATATGAAATAGTATATACCGATTCTTTTGATATACTGAATTATCAATACAGTACGATATATATTTGTTATTAAATTTTTAGTAAACCGATTTTTTGGTACCATATCGGTATATTTTTTAACATAACAAAAATTTCACAACAATATAGGATATGACTTGGCATTTTTGTATGTCATAACGAATAATTCGTATTCTTTAGTTACATTTAATTAGAATAAACAAAAATTCAACTCAAGCATAATACAAAAAATGAGACTCAAGTGGGGCCGAACAGAACTAAATCTTTTAAAAATAATTTTAATATTTTAAACAATATATTTCATAATTAACAAATACTAACTACCTGTTTGGTTAGAATTTGGATTATTAATTTGAATTTTAAATAATAAATTTTCTAATTTGAATCGTTATATGATGTAATATAAATAAATATTATTATTTATGATTGATTTTATAATATAAAAATAAAAATTATATCCTTAAAAAAGGACTATGAGTGAATAGTAAAAATTTAATCAAATACTGTACTTTAAAATTTTTTTATTTATATTAAAAATAATACCATAATAATTTATTATATGTAAATAATTCAAATTTATATTTTTTAAGTTTTAGTATTGTTGCAAATATTTGCACCAATATTTTGCTTAAATGCAAAAGTTATTAAACAAATGCAAAAGTTATTTGTGCTAAAATTAATTTATATCTATTTTATCCATAAAATATTAAGTAAACAAAAGTATATTATTATATTACAACTATCATATAAATTAAAACTAAAATAATTAATTTGTTAATACATTTTTTCGTAATTACTATGCCAAAAATTTATGCTATAATGAAACGAGATGGAAAGAGTAATAGAAACGGAGTAAGAATTTTTTTAACATTTGAAGACTACAATCATTAAAAAAATAGATTTATATATTTCAAATATATCAAAGTGTATTCTTTTTTCGGACAATTGGGCAAAAATCCCTCTATCCATTTATCAATTGGGATTCAGTCCCTAACGATAAAAAATTGGCCTGCACTCCCCCCTTTTTCCTTCTTCCTTCTTCTTCCTCCCTACTCGTATTTTTCTTCATTCTGTTTCTCTTCGCGCAAAAAATTCTTTCAATCTGATGTCCTCTTCCGTGAGCTCGAAAGCCACATCCCGCACAGGTAAGGTTCTTAATTGTTCGCCCGATTTTACATCACCGCTTCTTGTCTGGTTCGATTGAAAAATTTCCTAGGGCACTCTCTGAATCCTGTTCCGGTTCCCTGTCGTCGGCGGTCGGTTGATTCGGTCGAAGAACTACCGAAGGCTGTCACCGGTTCCCTGGCCCGTATTTCTTGTTCCCCGGTTAAATTAGATGTACCAGGTGTGTTTTTGTGTCGGTTGATTCGGTCGAAGAACTACCGAAGGCTGTCACCGGTTCCCTGGCCCGTCTTTCTTGTTCTCCGGCGAAATTAGATGTACCAGGTGTGTTTTTGTATCGATATCTTAGTTGGAAAATTATTATTTGGAAGAAAATGTTTGGGTATTATTTTGGGTGATTTTGATAATAAATTTTGTTGCTATTTAGGGTTTAAGGGTAATATTTATTTTGTGAAATGGGTAATTTGTTGCTATTGAGGATCAAGACATTACTAGAATTCCGTAAGAACATATGATTTTAGTGTATTTTGTGTAAGATTATCTAATCGCCCATACGACCTAATATAGTTCATACATTCATTGGTTGGATCGTTAGGTTCCGATGGACATGGAGCAAAGTAGTCTGAAATTATTAATTATATGTTCCTACGAAGGTGAGCATCATGTAATTCGTTTAGAAGAGGGCACCACGCTGGAGGATCTTTACCGGAATATATCGAAAAGATGGAATAAAGTGAGTATTGAGGCGGTAAAACTCCAATATATTGCACCTATTCAGAAAAGCTACGTGACGTTATTGTGTGACGATGATGTCGCCAATATGTGGAGAATGCATATCTTGTTAAAGGTAATGTTTGTGGATATGATTGCACGGTGTAGAAGCGAGCACCAGAGCGCGCCTCTCCGAAGCACGGTTGGACGCAGGTACGTTACTCATCATTTGTAATTAAGTAGTCTTTATTAAACTTTGTTATAGAATGCAGTTACAATTGTTCCTTATGAAAGAATGCAGTCTGTAAGCACTTATAATGCAGTATGTAAGAATGCAGTCTGTAAGCACTTATAATGTCATGTTCAACACATCTAAAAACATATTGTTTATAGGTTACGTTAGTAATAATTCTTTCATGATATTGGCATACAACAATACCGTGGTATATTGTTGCGATGTTGTTTGTATGTAGTAAGTATCCACCTCCGCGATTTTGTAGTAGCGCGGTGCAGAACGAACCACTGAAGAGATTGTAAAGATATGTAGTGGGGATATAACGTCTTGAAGGTATTTAACGATTTTCACTCCTTCTTTACACGCCACTGTCAATATCCTCTAGCAATCCGGTTTAGGTAGGTGTACCATGATCGATGCGTTGAAATTTCTGTAGCCCATGGCATTTACTGCATCACGTAGCCTGCTGCGGTGAATAGATGCAGTTGTTCTTTTAAATACCCTGGATGACACGGTAGGTAATCATAGACACCGTGGACATACTCGGTTGAGTAAGATGAGTACCCATGTTTTTTCTATTTACGAAGAAAATATCTATTACCATATAAAATTAGAACTACTTACATCTGATATAATTTTCATTCTTATTATTGTATTTGTAATGTAGGGGTGAGGCCGAATGTTCGGGATTGAACGAAGATTGCGCAGATGGTATCTTTATTCCCGACGAAAGTACTAGTCTAATTGCAATGCAGAGATGCATTGTCGGGGAAGGTCAGACATTCAAGGGACCGCAGGAGTTTAGAAAGTTACTGAAGAATTATTCTATTGCCACTCAGAAACACTTCAGGTACCAAAAGAATGATTCGAGCAAAATTATTGCGATGTGCATTGACAAAGGCTGTGGTTGGCGTATTTATGCATCCTTCCATGCTCGTGATGCATCATTCAGCATTCGTAAGTGCAATTTACATCACACATGTACTATGAGTCTATTGCAATCAAGAGATCATCCAACAGCCGATGCGAACTGGATTTCTGAGGTCTACAAAGATAAGATACGTTCTATGCCAGCGTATAAGGCATCCGACATCCGGGAGCATATCCAAACAGATTATGGGATTGACGTGAAATATCATAAAACATGGCGTGGCAAGGAGAATGCGATAAGGGCAATTAATGGTGGAGGTAGAGACAGATTCTCACAACTTCCGTGGTACTGTCATGCACTTCGGGAGTCAAATCCGGGAAGTATTATAGACTGCGAAGTTAAGCAGGCAACCAAACGTTTCCAGCGCCTTTTTGTTTGTTTAGGTGCATGCCGGCTGGGTTTTTTGAGGGGTTGCAGGCCCCTACTCTTTCTTGATGGGACACATATAAAAAACAAACACAAAGGGTGTCTGCTAAGTGCAATTGCAGTGGATGGGGATGATGGGATATTTACTTTAGCATTTTCTGGTACGTAATTTGATATTAGCTACAGTTGTCATTTTGTTAGAATGCTGGGTATAGCTGTTCGTGTATGCTGTTTTCCATGCTCTCTTTAGGCACGTATGTACCCTTATACGTTGGAAACCTTTGTAGTTATTTGTGTTCTTATTTGTTGACTTGCAGTTGTGTCTACGGAAAATGATGAAAATTGGGAGTGGTTTTGCTGGAAGCTGCGATCTGTTTTAGAATGTGAGGGACGTACGGATTGGAAACAGTACACATTCTTCTCGGATCGGCACTCGGGTTTACTAAAGTCAATCTCGCGCGTCTTTCCCGGAGCACATCATGCGTACTGTCTCCGACACTTAGTGGACAACTTCCGTACCCAGGTATATGTACGTCAATATTAATTTGTAATGAACATCACTGGTTATGATCAGCCAAAAAAATGTCTTTTTTTTAGGTTATGCGGAGATACCCAATGCATAATAAGAAACGATGGACCGCTGTCTTCAATAAGGCCGCCTATGCTCCGTTGAGGAGAGATTTCGAAAACCACATTAGTTCTGTGGTCGAATCAATGCCATTGGCCAGGGACTTCATTACCCAATCACACCCAGAATGTTGGGCAAATTCACTATTCAGAGGTACTCGTTGGGGAATAATAAATAATAACATTGCTGAGTCATGGAATAGTTGGGTGAGATCCGCGAGGTCAATGCCATTCGTTGGGATGTTGGATACCATTAGAAGGCAAGTGATGGTAATGATGAATGAACGCCGCGAAAAGTCGGAGATAATGCACGGAAGGCTCTGTCCAAAACAGGAGAGCAAGTTGGCACTATCGTACATGGCGTCTCGACGGCTACAGTGCAGTTTATCCTCTAGAACTGTATTCGAGGTAACAGATTGTAATGAAAGATACGCAGTCGATTTGGAGGCGCGCAAATGCTCTTGTCGAGAATGGCAAATGTTCAGATTGCCCTGCAAGCATGCCTGCGCTTGCATTGAAAAATGCAGTATGTCAATTTATGATTTTTGCGATCTTTACTATAGCATTGAATGCTACAGAAAAACGTACCAGGAACCAATAAATCCCGTACCGACGCATGATATGGACATGATTGTTGAAATTCAGGCGGACCAAATTCACCCTCCCCCGTCGTCTGTCCAACCAGGCCGGCCAAAGAAGCGAAGGTTCGAGTCCCAACAGGTAAAGAATCCACGAAAATGTGGTCGTTGTGGGCGTCTTGGACATAATAGAAGAAGTTGCAAGCAACAAATAGATTAGCGAACCTTTTTTTCATTGTACATCTTTTTGGCTTCCAGGAGTATATATTAAGACAGTAGGTATGTATTCAATAGCTATATTGTAATTGTTTTTTGTGTCTCTAAGATGTAACCGGTTGGATCCACCGACTTATTTGCAGTAGTAAATGGTATGTAGCCCTCTCACGCAGGTATATGATGAAGTTGTGAAGGTTCATAGTTATATTCTACAGGTATATTTTTCATGTACTGAGGCATTTGATGATGTAGCTCTGTAGGGACGGATGGTTAATGTAATATCTAATTGTTTTGAAAGTACATGCTATCCTATTTTTGGGTTATTACTAGGAGGTATAGTTGTTGTATTAAACTCGTCATACTAACCAAGTGCATATGTCATACAACTTAAGTATTTGTTGATGCCTTCTTTAACCATCAGCAGTAAATACATGCTATTTGAAGTAAAAAAAAAAAAAAAAAAGACCGTTTCCCCAGCCACAGGTAACCAGGGCATACATAATTGCAACTGAAGTATAATGTCACGGTTGTTGTAAGTACGCAATAGCTTACAGAGGGTATATGAATAATTATTCCAACATATAGGGTTGCGGTCCGAGTACAAACCATATTTTATTTTGTTTATACGGTATTTAAATTGTATTACCGTGTAATAACTTGAAGGCGTAGTATTGATTAAAATTCAGCACACTGCTACGTACCAGACTTCCATATGCCACACAACTATATTGTGGTTATATTATCGTGTCTATTCTATTGTGTTCTAATTCAATTAAAGGGTAAGCGATGTAAGTTTTATCTGTGGCCTAAAACACGCCATTCAAGATTATGGGGTTGACGAGAAACACTACCATGGTTAAGCCAATACACTCTTACCATCATTTCGTGAATATTTTAAGAGAAAAGGCCGAGCCCCCACCCGTAGGGTACCAGAGCATTTGAAATGGCAACGGAAGTATAAAGTCTATTTCCGTAGGTACATAATAGATACTATAGGGTATTTTTAGTAATGACTCCGTTACTTATGCATCTGAGCTGAGTACCGGACTCGCTGAACGAGGTACACAGATTGCGTATGCGGGTATCTGTGTTGTAGTTGTAGGTATCCTAGTTGTAGGTATAGTAGCACTTATCTGTAACCACGTGTTGCTTAGCATTCCGCAGGAAATAGTTGATTGTAATCTAGACGTTGGCCCACACGCAATTACCAGACACCTATGTCCCGCACAAATATTTTGTTGTAATATTATCATGTTTTTTTAGTACTGTTTGTTTTAAATTAACAAGTAAGCCCTTGCAGTTTCTCCGGTCGATTAAAACATGGCGTCCAGTAGGGTTTTATGAGAAACGCCGACACGGTTGAACTGATTCAAAGTGAACGCTATTTCAGTGATCAGTGCAAAAGAAATGACCAGTCCCACAAACGCAAGTGACTGGAGCATGTAATATATAAATGGAAGTACATACTAGTTTTCCGTAGGCACATAAAAGCTATCAACGGGTATCACCACACAACGCAGGTATATAATGAAGATGACAAATCAATCCACATAAAAGACATTTACCAATTCCATCACCTCGATACACAATGCAATAACTTCCCATATCAATCCAAATTGAAGACATTAAACAAATCCATCACCTCCACACAACACAATAACTTCCCAGATCAATCCAAACTGAAGACATTCAACAAATCCATCACCTCGCCACACAACGCAAAAACTTCCCAAATCAATCCAAATTCATTACATGTGTTAACCTGCCCTATTTTTCCATCGGGGTCTACGTTTTAGAAGGGGGGACCTTTCAATATCCTCGCCGCAATCGTGCCTCGGTAGCTCTTGACATCGCTGAAGTCCTCGCCGAGGACGCCCACGACATTGACATCTGGACCTGCCCGCGCATAACACTCTGCGAACATGCAGACTAAAGGTCCACAGTCCAACGTTTCACCCTGGTGTCGGCATCTAATGTACTCGGGCGTGTCGCTGACCATAGGCCATAGTCGTGACGCGTTCATGTACAACGATAAAAATCGTGTCTGCACAAATAACGTTACTCTTTCGTTAAGGAATTCATCATACCCATAGGCAATTAATTATGATCATTCGAAAGACGTACCAATTTCTTTGCATTCCCCTGGCCGAAGGGGTCGCGCATTGAGTTACACTCCAACACAACACGTTTGACGGTATCCAGTATGTAGAGATGCCAGTGGAACCGGGTGTGTACGGGTAGAAATATGTACCGGCACCCAGACCGGATTTTGTCCATGATTCCGGCAATCTCTTGGCCTACGGTCACTTGTAGCGAGTTGGAAAACGCGAGCACATTACCCTTATTGATGCTCGGCTTTTTTGCTCCCCTGCTTGGTCGTGATAGCGCGTCGTTCACGGCTTTCTGAAAATCGAACACAGCAACCAACGCAATAATAACAATGTGATTTGTAATACTAACCGTATAAATTCCAAATAGGATACTCACCGATACGAACCATGGCACACAACCACACCGCACCTGCGGATTGTGTTGGAGCTGATATTCATTGCTGCATAGATGATGTAGGTACGCGTCGATGACTTCTCCTTTCACAGCTTCGTCAAACAGTAGTTCTAAAACGGCATCGGACGAGACAGACACGACGCCCTGCTGCCATAAAGTGTCCCTACAAGATGATAGTCGCAAACGGATAAAAACATCGATTGAGAAAAATATATAAAGCCTTAATAGTGAATAGCAATACCGGACGGCGAATGACGCGAGAAAATGTTCAATGGTGTTCGTCTCATCCTCAGATAAGGTACCCTTTCCACAGTAGCTGTCGTTATTGCGATATCCCTCCCACTTTTGTGCTCCAGGGTCTGCTACAACCTTAGCATCCGAGTCCCCATCATCGCCGACGACAAATGGTTCCTGAACCAACAATGAAGATAATCATGTTTCCGTAGGTATCTGTATTTATTGTACAGGTATTGACTCAGAAACACTAGGTATTTAAGAATCTATCCGAAGTATTTTGAGCCAGACGACTTATATTTGTATGGAACTACGTACCTGCTCATTATTGACGTCGACCGCTGACTTTCCTTTCGCCCTCCGTGTTCTTCTCGCTTTCTCAATTCGCGGTGTCGACACAGGTGTCACGAATTCAGGCTTCTTCTTTCTCTTCCGATCCTTACGTGCCATTACACCACGTACAATCGATGAATCTGCGGCCCTGCTATAAGTCTCACGGTCGGACTCATCGGTCTGCTACAATTTCAACAAAGCAAATAATCATTCAACAGATACACAACTACGACCTACAAATTGTACTTACTATATTAATTAGCTTACCTTGACATCTATCGGTGCAATATAAGGAACAATGGCCATCAATTGGTTAAACTCTAGCAGGCTACCAACCCCTTCATCATCTGACTCGTTTATCGGATCAACTCCGGCCAAAAGGATGTCCATTTTTTTTTTGCTTCATCGCTCCGTATTCGCTCGCTCTTCCGCTGCCTCCTCGGGATCCTCCTCAGTCTGACTCTCCTCCTCCCCAGTTTTTTTCTCCTCCTCCTCCTCCTCCTGACCCTGACTCTCCTCCTCCTGACCCTGTTTCTCCTCCATGTCGGCCTGCTTCTCTTTCCTCTTTGACTCCACAGCCATCCGGTCTGCTGTCTCCTCATCCCCATAGTTTGCATCACCCTCCTCGCCATCGCTCTCGTCCTCACCCTCACCTTCACTGTCGTCATCGACAACACCGGCTCTAGATCTTTGCAATTTATGAGCAAGTCTGGCAATTGCAGTGTCTTTCTTCCGCAGCTCCACCTTCAATGCCGCAATTTGCTGAGCTGCTTCCTGCAACATATGTTAATAATGTCATATAAGAAATTATTTTATCCATTTACAATGGTAGCAACATTGAATAATGCATTTACCTCTGAAGCATGGCAAATTGCACGGACAAACTTTTCTTCCGTGCCTATCCGATAGAATTCCTGAATATCTGACCGCTTTAGGGATGTCAATTCACCAACTGCATGAACCCTGGACATTGGACCGAGGCTATTCAGCCACCGAAAGAGACGCGGTACCTTCGGAAGGCACCGTGCCTTGTCCAAAGTTGGGACCCTCTCATTGAACCAAGCCTGCACATATTGTAATAGACATTACTACCAACAATAATACATATTGTGCAATATACCAAAATAAGTAGAAAAAATTAACAAATCCGATATTACATTGCTTACCAACAAACCCGCGGTGCAGCCTGTCAAATATTTTTTCCCGGACTTGAAGTCGCTTATAGACTTCAACAGATAACGGTGACTCGCGGGTCCCCACGCGTAGTCACCAATCGCACTCAGGTCTTCCACATACGGTAACAAAAAAAAGGGTACAGAATAATTCGCAGAACAAAATAAAATATTTGCAAAAACAAGCAAAATAAAGAGACGAGCAACGTCCGCAACAGAAAGAGGTTCCAGCCCCTGCAATAGAGCCTCACGCAGCTTCTGCAACACCTGGCCGCGGGTTACAGAACGTGGCTTGCTCCCAAAAATCCGAACAAACCATTCGCTTTCGACCGATGTGTTTTCTGTCACGTAGACTCCTTTCGCATGTAGTCCTAAGAGTACAGAATATTCTTCAACTTCAAACGGAAGCTCAATGTCACTTCCAATCTTGAAGGACATAGATTCCGAACTAAAGCTATTGACGAGGGCAACAAGTCGGTGCCACGGAAACTTCATTTTCGGGCAATCCAGAAAATGCCCGAACGGTGTCATTTTTATAGCTGTGATGTGTTCGTCTGTCATGTGTTGCTTCAGTTTGCTCAGCTCATTATGAAAAAATGGTAATTCAAATCGGCTGATTACCGATTTGTGCTCTTTCCCTGGCCTGTAAGTAAAAACCATAAGTCCACGTTATCCAAATCTCTAATTTAGTTAAAAGTTTTTCACAATTTAGCAGGAGTAAAAACGCATTCCGAGTATACAATAGTGCCATTCAGGTATATTAATTGGCAAATTAGACCAAACAAATGAAACTCCTGGTGCCTAATAATACCGCATTTGTCAACCCACAAATATGACTAATTACCGAACAATCCACCAAAAAACCTAAAATATGCAACTTCGAGTAACTAAACAAAATATACATCTCCAAAATTAACAAAATCAAAGATAAAACAGATAAAATCACCCAAAATCGGCCGAACCGGGTTTCCTGGCCAAAAATTCGAACAATTTCAAACCACCCGTTGAACAAACACAACACCGAACACCCAGGGCTCCTCATCACTGAACCGAGGCATACAAACACGGGACCAAGGCTCTACCCCAAACAATCGAATAAACTACGATATAAAATTCGATTGTCAACAAAATCATAAAACGAAAAGGGTTTCGACCAGACACTTACTTTTTTGAACTTCTCGTGGGGGATCGCGGCGGATTCGCGGTTTTTCTCACCATTTCGCTGAACAAAATGTCTTAGTGCTGATCGTCGAGTTCGCGAGAGACGATTTCCTTCTCGAAGAACTAGGGCTTGAACGGAGAGTGAGGGGAGTTAGGGAAGGTTTCAGTTTTTAAATCGTGCATATTTATCACAAAATAAGGTACGCAGTATTTAAATGGAATTATCTAATCGTATACTGGGGGTAGAGCGGGAGGTAATGTATGTATATATTATAAAATTGGAAGTATTTATTAATCAATCGTAAGTACATGTTGCATATACAATTGTGATTGAGTAGAAAATACAAAAAGGGAGTTATAACATATCTAATCAATAAAGTAGGGACTGCAGATCAATTAATTTACAATGGGGACTGAATTGCAAGTAAATTACACTGACAGGGATTTTAGTCCAAGTCTCCCTTCTTTTTTAAGATTTTACAAGTGTTTTTATTTTTTACAGTAAAAATTAATTTTATATTTAAAACATCATAATTTAAATTTTTTACTTCTTTTGTCCCAAATACTGTCTTCTACACTGTAGAAAGGTATTTTAGGAGGGGTGTAATTAGTAGATAATTAAGAATGTATTAGTAAAAATAATTATTTATAATATAAATAATTATAAATTAAGATTAAGATAACTAATTAGTTTAATTAAAATTAAAAAAAAATAAAATTAAAAAATTTTAAATGAGATTAAAGTGTGTAATCAATTTCAAAAAAAAGAAAAGTGATATGATACGTGGGACGGACATAAACGGCAACATGGATATGGTATTTGGGACGGAGGAAGTATTATTTAAATTCAACTCAAACAAATACATAACTATTGATTTCAGATCAAAATAAATAAAAAAACATATAAATATTTATTGAAAATGGTAAAAAGAAAAACTTAAAATAACAAATCCAATGTAAAGACAAAGAAAGAGTTGATCAGTAAATGAAACAGCCGTGTGGCGCCCGGCACGGCTGACCTTACGGACAAGGACAGTTTGGTAATTTCAAACAGTCTTCCCTCGCCCTCACTTGTATTTCAAGTCCCTTCCCTGCAAAGTGTTCTTTCTCTGCTCATCGCATTCATTCATTTGTTCGTTCATACGGACGGACAGAGGCAACGAATAATTAAAGCTTAAAGCCAACAGAATCACATGGCGACATCCACATCCTTTTCTTCCCACTCTTTCCTCCCCCATTCTCCTTGATTTTTTGTTTTCTTCTATTTTCCTCAAAGCTGCAATTCGAGCTCCCGTCGTCGCCTCTCCCATGGGAGTTTATTCAAGAACTGTTACCGTCGTTTCGCCCAAATGGACGGCTTTTCTCTGTATTGCTTGCTTCTGTTCTGGAATGTTCTTCGCCAACAGGTCTGGCGCTTGATTTGGAGTCTTTAAATTTGGATCACTTTTGTTTTAGTTGTATTGATTTCGTTTGCATTATTGAACTGGATGTTTCGTTTCGTGTTTTGCTTCTAGACAGGCGTTGAAGGCTTGGTTGATTTTTTTTTTTTGAAAATTTCTAACTGTAAGGTGATTTAAAGTTCGTGAAATTAGAAGAATCCAATGCTTTGGGAAGTCATTTGTTTGCTTGAGAATAGTTGAAATTGTGCTTCCGAAATTCTGAATTGTGCCTTTTCTTGTGAAAATTTTGCTCAGGTTAGATTAAGAATTATCTGTTTCATGGAAAAAAAAAAAAAAAAAGAAACTATTTAAACTCCACAAGTTAGTGATGGAGCTTTAGATCTCATATGATTTGCTATATTGCATAGCAGAGGTATTTTACGCTTGAGAATAGGGTTTGTTTGGTTTTGATTTGATATTGGAATGATGATTTGAGTTTTGGATTAAATGGTATTTTGATATGATCTTGTGGTAAGAAATTTTGTATTTTTATTGGGAATGAATAGTGGAGTTTTTGGTTTGAAATAAAGAACAAATCGCACTTAGTGTATCTTCTAACTTGAATATGCTTGTCGGCTGTTGTGTATTTATAATTCCCAACATAGGGATGTTCAATTACAATTCCAATTCGAAAATTTGCTGAAGAATATTATTTATGAGTATTAGTCCTTGCTACAATCCATGTTTGGTTTCCTGCTGCTTTTGTAAGAAAAATGATAAAGTAAGTCTGTTGGACCTAGTGCAAGCTCGGGTATATGCTAATAAATCATCTGCCGACAGATTATGGACAATTCCCGAAACAAGGGGTGTCACGAGATCAGTAACGTCGGTTGAAGCCGAGACATTAAAGCTAGTGTCCGAAGGCTGTGATCCCAACTTTGTAAGCATTTTCATCTTTCTGTGATCTTACAGATTTGGTTATTGTCCGAAATGTTTGGATTTTGAACTTGTGCATAAATCCTCATCTGTTCGGTTTATGTACTGCCAACAGAGTGGCATAAAAAGAGTCCCAAAGGCGATATTTCGGGATGACGCCAAGACTCAACACACTTCACAGTGAGTTTACTTTCTCATGAAGCTAAATCAGGCTAAATTTGCTTTTAGTCTCATAAGAAGTTCCAATCACAATTGTAGACTCATGATATAAAATTGATTATGACATAACTCGGCTTTTTTGTAAGTTTAGTCTCATAATTGGTTGTTAAGGTTGACCGAAGAAAAATGATTAACATGTATACTAATTGTAGAACATTGGACAAGACCATTTCAACTTTGGAGACAGAGTTAGCTGCTGCGAAGGCGGCGCACGATTCAATTTTGAATGGCTCTCCCCAATATAATTCGGACAAGGGCTCCTCCCATAGAAGAAAGTATTTCATGGTTATTGGAGTAAATACGGCATTTAGCAGTAGGAAAAGACGGGACTCAGTTCGAGCAACGTGGATGCCACAAGGTTTGTCCATTGTGTACTTGTTGGTCTTCCTATGGTTTTGATTTGCTTCTTGTGTTTTGGATATTGATTCTTAGTTGTTTTTTCCAAAATGTAAAATAGGGGAAAAACGAATGAAGTTAGAGTCGGAGAAAGGAATTGTTGTTCGTTTCGTCATTGGTCACAGGTGAGATTGAGTTACAAGATATTGTTATTCATATATCCTTGTTTTCCTTTTCAGTCTGGCAGTAAAAAACATGCAATTTTAAGTTATACTCATGCACATTCTTTAATTTATACATTTCAATATTACACTTATTTACAAAAATATCACCAACTACTTACACAATCGATCTATCAAAGACTTTTTCACTTCATTAAGTCTCTCATATATTTCCCAAAATACCCTTTTATGTGCCAATCAACCAATATATACTACTATATTCATTAACACTCGTGTACAATCTAAATGAACATATACTCGGTGGACGGATGGATGGAGCATTATATTAATCTTTGGACTTGTCATAATGAAGGTTATAATCGAGTTTTTTGGATGAACTTTTATTTCATTACATGTATTTTGATTTGACATAACTTGATCCTAAAACAAAAGGTATAATTTGGTGATTATTTTCCCAAGGATGGATGTTTACTATAATTTTCTCAGGCATACGGAAAAATCATTTGTCGCATCGATCGATTATGGTCTTTTTTGTGCCGCAGTGCAACATTAGGGGGTGTACTTGATAGGTCAATAGAAGCCGAAAATAAGAAGCATGGTGACATCTTGACGTTGGTAAATTAAAACAGCATTTGTTGTTTTCACTTTGTGCATATTTTGTCTACTTCATTGTCCGCCTGAAACCACATATTCATTCTCAGGATCATGTCGAGGGTTATCTCGAGTTGTCGGCCAAGACAAAGACTTACTTCACAACAGCCGTGTCGCTATGGGATGCAGAATATTATGTTAAAGTCGACGATGATGTTCATGTCAACATTGGTAACTAACACTTTTAGATCATAGTTCTATATTACTTCAGGCTTCAAAAGTTCAGGTCGGGAATTCGAAAGCATCGACTTATATCTTGTCTTGTTGTTTTCTTGCATTTATTGCAGCTACGCTAGGCGAAACATTAGCAAGACACCGTAAAAAGCCAAGAGTATACCTAGGATGCATGAAATCTGGTCCAGTCATTGCTCAGAGGTACACTATCGAACATCACAACAGAATTATTCCAACATATCTTTTCACAGGTATTTGGCCTTGGCTGATTCCTTGATTCTTATGGAACAGAGGAGTAAGATACCATGAACCTGAGCATTGGAAATTTGGGGAACCGGGAAACAAGTATTTCCGACATGCTACAGGACAGTTATATGCCATCTCAAAAGATTTGGCTTCATTCATTGCGACAAACCAGTTAAGATATTACTTCATTCTTACGTAGGCTTTGATTTTTTATTTGTTTTTTTCTTGGATTAAACACTTTTTATGTTATAATATAATCTCCATATCTCGATGGATTTTCTTGAATGTGATTGTAGACATGTTCTCCATAAGTATGCGAACGAGGACGTGTCTCTTGGAGCATGGTTCATTGGGCTTGATGTGCGGCATATAAATGATCGGAGATTGTGTTGTGGAACTCCGCCCGGTAATTTCCTATACATCTTACTTTTAACCGTTTCATAAACACATTGGTATTTCATTACATCATATTCCCTTTTGTTTCTTAATATAGTGTGTGTAATAAAACTAACTAGTACTCAGATCGGATCCTCTGTCCCATTAACACTTTCTATCCCCCTATCCCCACGAGCGTATGCATACACACGTGTATACATTATGTGTGTGGGGATAGAGGGATAAGGTTTATTTTTGGGACAGAGGATTCCATGGGACTAATACTCCCTCCATCATCTCTTCATTGTGTAAAAATACACTCATTTGGTTTGGGCGCAAATTTTAATGTGACGTGTACTTTTTGGCTTTATAGTAAGAAAAGTAGAAAAAAATGATTAAAAATGGTAACATTGATGATTTTTAACTAAAATAGAGACAAACGTATTTTTTGATGAAAGATAAATAAGGAAAGTGAATTGATGTTTTTTATGAGAAAGAGAGTATATGATGTTTCTAATTAACATGGGTCTTGAATCTAGAATGAAAGAAAGAATCGGTAACCATTCTTTGCCATAACAATTTTGATTGTAAGTGCAGACTGTGAATGGAAAGCACAGGCAGGAAACATGTGCGTTGCTTCGTTTGATTGGACGTGCAGCGGAATATGCAGATCTGTCGATAGGATAAAGGAGGTTCATCGTCGGTGTGCAGAGCATGAGGATGCCGTATGGAAGGCCACTTTTTGATAGTCGGGACCTTGATGGTTAGCTTGCTTGGTTTTCTCCTTTTCCACTTTATATATATATGCATAGCTTTATGAAACTTCTCCATTTTAGCCGAGAAGTGAAGCTATTGCAAAAGCGATGGCGATCCGAGCTTTTCAGCATCAAAGAGGAACTGTAAGAAACTTACAAGTATAGATATAGATATATTCTACAAAATGTAGAGATCATGTAGTCATGTATTAAATCTTGAATCTTCACTATAAGCTTGTAATTAAGTAGTAGTTATTGTTGATCCTGTCCAATCCACTTCTTTTAATCTTGTCACACATACACCTCGCTCTATTATGATTTTCCATTCTAGGAACAAAGTCCGTACCAAATTGCATATATCCACTTCCATCTAACACCTGGGTAAATCTCCTGTCGAACATAATAGGCTGCAAATTACGCTAGCAAATAAAGTCACATTAAGCGAACCATGTGTGACAAACAAGACCAAAGACTCAAAATGCTTAGAATATCTTTATCTTAGAGGCCAAAAAGGATCACAATATATGATTCTTCATAGGCAGGAGGAACAGCGTGTTCTTCGAGTGTTATAACACCAAACGCAAGCTTCTGCTCGGCAATAGATAGATATATGTGCAGAGTGATATTCTCCAACTTCTTTGTTCCACTTCTACTCTAATTTTCTCAGCAATATATAGACTTCAATAGAGAGGCAACAACAATAATTTCATTTTATTTTAAGTATTCCTCTTTTCTTTTTTATATATATTTTTTTCTCTATCTTTTTTTCTTTGACAATTAAAAAACTAAATAATAGCAAATGAAGAAAATAGATAGAATTTCATAACTTTCAAATGGGGTTATAACGATCCAATTCACGCATAAGTTGGTTTTTTGTGGACATTATAGGTCATTAGTTTCTAATTTCTTTTGGATCTTCACACCAACTTGAACTTGAACCATTATTTCAGCTCATCTGAAGACTAATGAATGCTTCTTCCGGTCATAAGATCCTTAGCAAGCTTGAAACGCTTTACGGCCAAATTACCATAGTGTTCACAATATTTGCCGTCATTCTGTCATTGCAACTAATCCTTACTACTTTATTGAAAGTCAGTATCTATTTTGAATTTTTAGGAATTTTCTCTTTCTCGATCATTCTTGGCTTTTGATTCTTATCTAGAATCTTTAAATTTGTACTTTGTCCAGCTTTCACAAAGATAGTAGGCTTGATTTCTGTTGAATCACAACATAAAAAACTTGTGATCTCCAAATGGTTCCAATAGGAAAAAAATTCATCCAAAATTTCTTTTCCTTTTCAAAGTCTCATTTTTCTTTCTTTGAATTTTTTTTAGCCTTCAAACCATTAATATTTGTAGACATCTTTTGAATATCTTTTAGAAAAATATATATTTCCCTATTTAAATATGGACAAATAATAATGTACGATATAATTTATTTGATTGACTTAAATTACGTAATCTGATTATAGAAATAATCAATAATTTATTTTGATTGACTTAGATTACGATATTTGATTATAAAAACAATCATTATTTATTTGATTGACTAAAATTACATGATCTAATTATGGAATAACTCAATTACTACCTTATTGATATGAGATAAATTGAGCAGATACCAAATAACATATCAATTAGGTGATTATGTGTTGCTTATTGATCATTATATAAAGGACATTCGGTTATGGTCTCCAATACACTAAATAAATCATTGTTCTCTATTCTTCCCATCAGAATAGATTACGAAGGACTAATTAGGCGATTTAGTTGAAGAAGACCGTAATACCAATTGTTCGAGTTCTCAGTTCCGTATCAAGGAACTCGATGGATCCAGATATGTTATAATGTGGTTTTTAAAATTTTTTTTCCTTTAATATAAATCGCTATAGGACATATGGATCTGTCAAGTGCATTATCAATGACACTTTTCCATCAGTATCTTCTAACAATCTTTCATTCTTAGCATCCATCTCCTTATATCTTGTTTCTAATCGCTAAATAGTGTCAAACAGTTTCTTATTCTTAACAAGAGGATTTTTTTCTTTTTTCTTTAGCTACCACGTATTCATATGCTTAAATCAGCTATACAATGTCCAAATATTCTATTTCTTCCTAAATTTCTTCACAAGAGACATCATCATGAGCTTTTCTTGATTCACCATTATTGACCATAAATGCAATAACTTATTTATTATTACTATGATATTGATCATTTGCAGCAACATTTCCTTCATCATATGAACTTCAGGTCACTTGGTAGCCATGTTTTTCTTTTGTTTTTGACCATTGGATATTTGGTTTCAATGTGACCAAATCTACCACATCCAATATAAGTTCACAACATCAGGTTGTGATGATACATTAATTTTATTTCTTTGATTACTTTGGAATGAACCTTTAAGCTTACTGAAATTTGAATGCTTCTGCTCATAAAATTTCTGGTCCAAGGCAGCTTCTGAGGTCCAAGGCGTAGGGAACGTGGTGCTAAAGATGACCTCTGGCGAAGAACTAACCCTGAAAGATGTCCTGCATGCGCCAGACATTCGGAAAAATCTCGTCTCAGGATCGCTACTAGTTAGGCATGGTTTTAAACTAGTCTTTGTTGCAGATAAATTTATATTATCGAGAAATGAGATGTTCCTAACTAGGGGTTATCTTAAAAATGAGTTGTTCAAATTGAATGTAATGGTCGTGCGCCGAGCACCACCTATTAATAATAAAAATGTTGCTTTTTCTTCATACTTGATTGAGTGTTCTGATTTATGGCATTGCAGACTAAGTCATGTAAACCTAAATGCTATAAAAAGATTAGTAAATATGAATTTACTAAAAATAAAAGAGGTGAACACTCAAAACAAATGTGAATTTTGCGTGGAGGCCAAAATGGCAAAATTACCTTTCCCGTATGTCGAAAGGAAGACTAAGCCATTAGAGTTAATTCACACTGATGTATGTGATTTAAAATTTGTGCAAACTAGAGGTGGAAAGAAATATTTCATCACCTTTATCGATGACTGCACAAACTATTGCTATATTTACTTATTAAGGGAAAAGAGCAAAGCAATCGAAGCCTTCAAGAACTTCAAAACCGAGGCTGAAAATCAACTTGACTGTAAAATCAAGACAGTTTGAAGTGATAGAGGTGGTGAATATGTGGCCCCGTTCGAAGAATTATGTAACGAAAGTGGCATAATTCATCAGACAACGGCTCCATATTCACCTCAATCGAACGGCGTTGCAGAACGCAAAAATCCAACACTTAAGGAAATGATGAATGCCTTGTTGATAAGTTCAGGACTTCCCCAAAACCTGTGGGGGGAAGCGGTATTGACTGCAAATTATATCCTGAACAAGATACCACTTAAGGGTAAGGATGCCACCCCTTACGAACTATGGAAAGGCAAGAAACCCACATACAAATACTTCAAAGTGTGGGGGTGCCTAGCAAAAGTGGAAGTTCTGCCTCCAAAGCAAGTCGCTATCGGCCCAAAAACGGTAGACTGCATATTTATCGGGTATGCACTAAACAATAGTGCTTATAGTTTCATAGTTCACAAATCGGAAATCCCTGGGATGACCGAGGGAACTACGATAGAATCAAGGAATGCCCTTTGAAAATATCTACCCTTGTAAGAAACAGATACAATCAAATCCAAAATCCGTAGATGAAGAGCTACGGGGCGTAAAAAGACAAATGACCAATAGCCCTGATCAAGAGGCTTCAGAGCCTAAGTGTAGCAAAAGGACAAGGGTCGAGAAAACCTTTGGTCCGGATTTTATTACTATTATGTTAAACAATGATCTAACAACGATCAAGGAAACACTATCTAGTCCTGATGCTCCTTTTTGGAAGGAAACAATAGATAGTGAAATAGACTCAATAATGCATAATAACATTTGGGTGTTATCTGACCTACCCGAAGGCTGCAAACCACTAGGGTGTAAATGAGTTTTGAAAAAGAACTCAAGGCTGATGGGTTTGACAAATACAAAGCCCGTCTCGTAGTAAAAGACTACAAACAAACTCGAAGGGTACTGCGATGCCAATTGGATATCCGATGCAAAAGACTCACTGTCTACAAGTGGATATGTATTTACAATTGGAAGAGGAGCTGTCTCGTGGAAATCCACAAAACAGACGTGCATTGCACGGTCCACAATGGAATCGGAGTTCATCGCCTTGGACAAAGCTGGCGAAGAAGCCGAATGGCTGAGGAACTTCATGGATGATATTCCATACTGGAATAAACCAGTACCTCCCGTAATGATTCACTGTGATAGCCAAGCTGCAATAGCAATGGCTAAGAATGGAATTTACATCGGTAAATCCCGACATATCCGATGTAGACATAACACTGTAAGACATTTGATCACCAATGGGGTTTTGACTATTGAATATGTAAAATCAATAGAAAACCTAGCGGATCCGCTAACCAAAGGGTTGTAGAGAGATCAACTGTACAAACTACTAAAGGAAATGCGTTTGAAATCCATAAGATAGAGACAATTACAATGGTAACCCAACCAAATCACTTGGAAATCACAAGCCTTGGTTCGATGGAAAAACTAAGCTATAAGAGTCCGGCACGAACACTCAATACAATTCCCTGAAAAGCAATGAGTGTTATAATGTGCAAAAGTGGTGAGGTTGAGTCAATGACTCTTAATGATCCTAAAGGTGTGAGTTAAATACCTTGACATAGGATTACCTATATAAGTGTGAAGTGTGGGCTGCTTCAAATGAAACACTTATGAATTCAAAGACGAGATCCATGGCCGAAATGAATCAAAACATGAGAACAAAGTTGAGATTGAGAGAACGACACTCAATATTATTGACTAAGTGCACGCAGAGGCGGAACAGTTCAATGCATCACGTCAACTGGGCCACTAGTACACTATGTAATATTGACTATGGAAGGTTCAAAGCCAAAAACTACATGTCCTGATGTGTCAATGTCTCACAGGGATTGAGCTGGGCTTCTGTCCTTTATAGGCATTTCCACTCATGTGGGGGATTGTTGGATAATCGGTTATTCTGCAATCGATTATTTTGTCAGTGAAAATGCGATGGGCCGGTGTACCAAATTAATATAATTAATTTGGAAGAAATAAATAAATATTATTTATTTATTATGTATGGGGTTTGGTTAATATTTTGGCTATTTTGCCTGTCTCGAGAGAAACCAAATTGTGCAACCCCAAATTAAACCTGGGTATATGGCCTAAGTCGCAATATTATTTGGATAAAATATTATCCGTTGGATAAATTTATTATAATCTCAAACGGAAGG